GGCAGATAATAAAAGAAGAAGATATAAAAAAAGAAAGTTCTTTACACTTAATATTCAATACACACGCACTTGGAAGTACATCATCTGGAATTTCAGGTACTAAACCATGTTTATAATACAGATATTTTGTAACGGGATCATGGAATGAATGAGAAACAAAACGAGACCAAAAATACATGCATGTATTTTTTTTATATAGATCTTATTATGTATACATAATGTTATGAAATATAAATAAAAAAACAAAAACAAATTTCTACTATCATCTGTCATGTAACGCGTATGACGCAACGCCCTCACAATACTATTGACATTGACGTTTTAACGTGACGTGACCGATGCGTTACATACATTGTTTTGCAAAAACATATTTTGTTGATTATTAAACAAAAATGAATAATTCGAAGGTGTATAAGCGATGTGCAGTGCCATTGTGTTATAGTACAAGTAACAAAACTCCAAAAAAAATATTTGTTTACGTGCCTACGCAAATAGATCGGCGTAAAGAATGGTTTCGACTTGCGAGGATAGATAAAGATATAGACAGACTGCTAGAGGCAACTACCGTTTATTATTGTGAAGATCATTTCGATGTGAGTATTATATTTTTATAATTCCACGCAATATTATTAATCTTAGACAATATATAATCGTTCATATAAAAAATTCGACATAATGTAGGTTATATATTTAAAACTTTGTTAATTTATTTTATTTTAATTTATTTGATTTTCTTGCTCTGTGTTTTTTTTTGTTTTGCTGGCTGAAAGATATTGGGCCTCACGACACAGCGAATTCTAGTGTAAGGTCCAGGACCATACAAAAATGTGTTGTGAATTTTTTTGCCAATAAATATATTTTTGTTGTTTATTTCCATATATTAATTTAAAATTCTCGATAAATTACATTTTTAAATACTTCCAAAATAAAAATTAATATTGAAAAATATAAAAAATAGGAGCCAACCAGTAGCGGGAGCATGGTCCAAGCTACCGGTGGTGGTGGTTATTTTATTTATTATTGTATTATGTTATTTAATTACAGTTGCCAAATGATATGGAAAATTATATGCAATATCAGATAATGGGTTCCGTGCCTAAAATAAGGATGAAACCAGACTCGCTACCTACTAGATTTAACTGTCAACTCAATAAAAAATGTACATCTCTCTTACCTAGACCTTCGACTGCTAATAAGTATGAAGTGCCCACTGGAAGTTCAGGTACAAACAAATATTATGGCATTCTCATCAGTCTTATAAATGAAGCACAGGTTGTTGCATCAGTCTTATAAATGAAGCACAGGTGGTTGGTGTGTTAATAGAAATGAAAATGTTAGGTACATAATTAATTATATCTTTATATGGTGGCCACTGGTGTGGTTATTGTGAAGTAAGAAATTAGAATTCCCACACCTTCCCTGATCTTTCTTCCAGATAAAACAATAGGCTGCCCGTTACCAAATAAATGTAATTCCATGATTCAATAATAATATACTTAATAACCAAATTAAAATTGTTTACATTATTGCGACAATCTTCTCTATTATTATGTCTCTGTTCATTTTCATTTATTCCTGAATTAACTGCTTGAGCACATTTTTTTAGTTACATTATTTTATAAATAGTATACCTAATATTTTATTACAATAGACCTAATCAAGAGCCTGAAATGCCAGGAACCCAAAACCTTTCTCTAAGAACAAAGCATCAGATAATGTTATCAAATTGAAGAGTACAACTAACGTAACGCGACAAAGAAAGTGACATGTATTACGATTACTCGGTTAATTAGGGGCCATTAACAGCTCTCTCGTCGTTTGCGCTCGTGTTCCTTACATTACTTTGTTGAATAGGCACCTGCATGCATTTTTGAAATGTATCTAAAATAAATTCTACAGCCCTAATATTCTCGCGTTATGTACGAATATCAATAAATTATTTTATCATAATTTCCAATTTCGCGCTTATTTCGCGAAAACGCGGCAAACAGCGGACGCCATGATTGTTTTGTAGTGTCATGACGTCATTACGTCAGTATTCATTCTGTTCTACAGCTGACAGTAATACACACTTAGTACATATTATTATAGTGTTTTATTTAAAATTTTAATAATGAGTTATTATGCTTGCTATCGTTGGTGTGTTGCTTCTGAATGCAAGAACACTAGTGTAAAAACACCAGACAAATTGTGGATTCAAGTACCAGTGGATATAAATATAAGAAACACTTGGTTAAAAGTTGCGAGACGAGATCCCGAATTATTATCAGATAAATCTCGTTTATACTTTTGTGAAGATCACTTTGATGTAAGTAACTGTATTATCATTACCTATCTAATAAATTATCTTTAATGATAGGTTACCTACTTCAAGAATCATTACTTTGGGATATGTTGTGGATAATATTTAGAGGTTATAACATCTATGAAGTAATGTTGCTAATCATATTTTATCTGTCTTACGGTTCAGTTGGAAAATGACATGGAAAACTATATTAGGTATAAAATAATGGGTTCGGTAAAAAGGATTAAAATGAAACCGAATTGCATACCCTCCAGATTTGTTTGGAATAGAAAACATAAGATTTTAAATGAATCACATCTTACTGAAGCTAAAAGTCAAAAAGTAGCCATACCTGAGAATTTTTATCATTATATAGAAGCAGAGGATAATGAAGTGTCATCTTACACAGAAGGTAATTGTTTATTTTTATACTATGTAATTAGGTATATAAAAAAATCATTGTGTTCACATAATAAAATTAATAGTAAATTAGATTTATAAGAGCACATCTGTGCTGAATATTATTGGCACAAACATTCATAACTTTTTCTTATATGTACTTTCATATAAGTAAATAAATATATGAAATATAATATTTTTATCATGTCTTGTTTCTTTTGCTAACTGTTTATTTAATCATGAAAATGATGTCAGAGGGAAATAACAACATTCTTAACTATCACAGTCAATGAAAGTACGTTGAAGTTATATGAACATTAGTTGACGTCGCGTCGTACGCCCTCTGCTACTTTTTCTGTAATTTTAACGAATTTCCATCATATCTTGTGCTATCTTTAAAGTTTTCCATAATATCCCGCAAGACACTAATATCTAGTGATATAACAATGTGGCTGAAATAAATCAAAAAATAATTTGAATTTATTTTGTTTATACAAATATTTTCTGATAAAATAGAGTTATACGTTCTTTTATATTTTATCAAATAGGATGACTATATTCCGTAGCATATTTTAATAGTGTCAAATAGCCTATTCACAATAGACTATCCATCAACATCAAGCGATCATAATAATACCCTTAAAATTCCGATACGGAGTCGTACCGACTCATGTTTTGTGCAATTGTGCCTATGTGTCCATCTACTACAACAAAGTTTCCAAATAAATTGTATTTGACTGGACCTACGGACCCAAAACTGAGAAGAAAGTGGTTTTTAGCTGCAAAGAGGAATGTCTATTACTCTCCAAAGACTATTATTAGATGCTGTGAAGACCACTTTGACGTAAGTTGGCGAATACTTGTTTTTGTAGCTTTTACTCTACCTATATGTGTCGCGGAGAACCTAACGGGTTACCGGGGCTCCGGCTCGACGTGCAGGAGAAGGAACGGGGTGGTTTTTAGTAAGAGTCTGACGCTCCCTCCCGCCTCACCCAGGCGGGAGCAGTCATTCGATGATTTTCCCCCCTAAAAAAAAAGAAAAAACTATATGTATACGAAACGTCTCAGTAGCATATTTTTAGTTTTACAGTTAGAGAACGACGTCGAGAATTGGATGAGGTTTAAAATGGTTGGGGGAAACCTTTATCTGAAAAAAGATGTGGTACCTCATAAATTGCCATTTAGAGCGCCAGCATAGAATGATGCCACTGAAACCTAGATCGGTGGTAATGAAAAGGGGAAGACGTGAAATTTTTGAGAGCATTGAAAATAGTGCGAGTATAATATTGATAATTATGTTCTTTCAGATTATTTTATTCTTGCTCACCTGGAACATTTAATGACACATTTTTACCGACTTCAAAAAAAGGAGGAGGTACTATGTTCGGCTGATTGTTTTTTTTAATATTGTTACTAAAATAATGCTTTATAATGATCAACTAGCTAGATATTATTGATTTACATTTTTCAGAACCACGTTTGGAGAGTTTGTTCATCACGGATACACACGCTCAAAATATACAGATATCCTATGATAAAGGTGTACAGGTGTCTTTATACTAAAACACTTACCACTATTTGTATATCACCTGACTTCGGTTTTTGGAAGCTTCAGTTTGTAAGCGGAAGTGACGCCGAGTAAATAAATATATATGTTATTCTAACGCGAGTTTATATTCATTTATTATCCTGTATTTGGACCCCACAACTAATTTTAATACAGGTCCACTGGCTTACTCCTTTTCTGAGCTAGTTACCTTAGTTTTTTAAAATATTTAATATATAGCATAAGCCGGTAAACGAGCAGACGGATCACCTGATGGTAAGCAATCGGCGCCGCCCATGGATACTCGAAACACCAAGGCGTTACAAGTGCGTTACCGGCCTTTTGGAAATTGGTAATTTGAAGATTGTGGAGGATATCGCTAGACGGGGACAAGGGAGGGGGGTAATTGGGCCTCCTCCCTTGTCCCTCACTCATACGACAAAACACAACGCAAGCTTTGTTTCACATCGGTTTTCTGTGAGGCCGTGGTATCACTCCGGTCGAGCCGGCGCATTCGTAACGAAGCATGGCTCTTCCACACTTAGTCCACAGTCCACAATACCTACACAGAATGATCTATTTGTTAGCTTGTGCCAACGGCTTAAGGCTCAGTCCCGTGGGATAAAATGTGTTATTCTGACCGTATGCAACTTCTGTTCCAAATTTCATCACGATCCCCCTCAGCCTTTTCGACGTGATTGAATAAAGAATACACAGGAACTCACAAAATTTCACATTTATATATTATAAGATTCCGATTATTGTTCACAGAAGAAATTGTGGTGAAAACAGAAATCCCCGATGAGATATTGATAAAAACAGAACCGATCTATCCAGACGAAACGGTTCCGGAGGTGGCAGATGTGAGGTTTCATGATAAAGGGGTTCAGACGAAGCCGGACGTGGAGGACAGGGGGGTGCAAGGATGCCCTAGACGTTTCCGAAGCAAGGCGGTGCAGTACAACTCCGATATACCACCCAAGATAACCTTCTTGGTAAGTGCACTCTCATCTAGACTAACGGTTTTGTCTTCTCTAATAATATCTTTTGATATATTTCGTTGCGAGATCCAAGACAGTTTTTCATGTGAATGTCCTCGAGTGTACCGGTGTGTAAACGGTCGTATCTACGTTTAAGTAAAACTCAATACTTAAATACTGAAATGTTTATTATAAACGGATTCTTGAACACAGCGTGATGCTCGTCAAACTTCCCACCAGAATCGCACGTCACTCCATTTTTGCGTTGCGCGGGAAACTTTTCTAATCTGTCCCATTTGACAGATGACATCGTTGATTGACATGAGTTGATTTTCGTCGTCTAACACTACTATAGACCCTGGTGCACAGTAGTTGCAGTGGTTTTGGGAGGTTGTGGCGGGCTTGTCCCATAAAAAAATGTTCTTGGTACATTTACCAACTACTGCACTCATTAGACTACCTTAACCAGAGCTGCAGACGGCCTAACAGGTTATTGGGGCTTTATGCAGGAGTAGGAACGGGATGATGTTTAGTCTGTAACATTCTGACACTCTCTCGCCTCACCCCCAAGGCGGAAGAAGCTATTGGAGGGTATTTCCCTTCAAAAAAATAAATAAATTGGTTGCAAAAATAAGGCTTACCATTAAAATACCCTAAGTACGGGGTTTAACCCATTTGGAACCTACATATAATTGACCCAAATGGAAACTACACATAATTTAAAAACTTTATTAACTTAATGACATGACGCCCACAAACTAATACCAGCAAAAAAAATTAAAAAATATATTTAAAAGTATTAATAGGGTAGATGACTAATTTTTATTTTAAAGTCCGTCTGGTAGATTATTTTAAAACATTACACACATATTTTTTATTTTCTTACAGTAACGAATAATTTTTACGATATATTGATTTGAAATGTCGCGTGACGTCACTTCTATGTACATTTTATACGTAGAAATGACGTTTTAGCCCCCACTCCTTGTTTGGGCGCCGAACCTGCTGCAGCGGCCCGCTCGGGCGCTGCTTATGGCACAGAGGGTCATGGCGATCCGAATGATCCGCGGATACCGCACGATCTCTGGGGAGTCGGCGAACCTCCTTGCCGGATTACCGCCGTGGGATCTGGAGGCGAAGGTGCTCGCGCGCGTGTATCGCATGCGCGCGGAGGCACGTCGCCGGGGCGAAACTCCGCTGCCGCGCCAGATAAGTGCGTGGCGGGATGAGCTCCGGCGCGATCTCATGGCGGAATGGCAGCAACGACTGTCGCAACCGAGGGCTGGGCTCGCTGCCATTGCAGCGGTAAGTCCCCTCTTTGAGGAGTGGCTTGAGAGACGCTACGGCGTCCTCACCTACCGCCTGACGCAGGTCCTCACCGGACATGGAAGTTTCGGGAGGTACCTGTGTCTGATGGGGCGGGAGGAAACGCCCGGGTGTCATCACTGCGAGGACCACCCTGAGGACACGGTGGAACACACTGTTGCGGAATGCCCTGCGTGGGCTGAGCACCGCCGTGCCCTCAGGGAAGTGATCGGCGATGGAGACCTCTCGCGTCCGGGCCTAGTTCAGGCCATGATGCGGAGCGAGGGGGACTGGGATGCCGTCTCCTCCTTTTGCGAAGCAGTCATGCTGGCTAAGGAGGAGGCGGGACGCGTGAGGCAGCGAAGCGCTGCCTCCTCGCAACCCAGCCATCGCGAAGGACACACCGGGCGTCGGGGATCGCGGGACGATCTCCGGCCACCGTAAGCGCGGGCCTGCGGACGGCGAGCATGGGTGGCTCCCCGTCCGACCAGAAACAGACCCGAGCGTACGGCGCGTCGCGTTCCGCGCGCGCCTCAAAGAGCCATCAGACCACAGATGGGGCCCAATAGGGCCGATGCCGATTCGGAGTCGCGGAGAACCTAACGGGTAACCGGGGCTCCGGCTCGACGTGCAGGAGAAGGAACGGGGTGGTTTTTAGTCAGTAAGAGTCTGACACTCCCTTCCGCCTCACCCAGGCGGGAGCAGTCATTCGATGATTTTCCCCCCTTAAAAAAAAAAAAAAAAAGCCCCCACTCCTAAACTTTGATTCGTTATATCTAAGTATCATTTTATTATACAACAAATTAATAAAAATATACGTGTCTAATATTTTTTCATTATCTAACTGACGGACTCATTAGATTTTTAATTCTCATACCCTGTCATCATCCCTATTGTGATGTCGATCACACTTGAGAACCATGATGATGGACCTGTGGGTGTCCATGGGCGGCGACGACTCAATATCAGTTGACCCGTCAGCTCGTTTATCGCCTTATCCAATATATATTGTTTTTTTTTTTTTTAGAAATTAGTCAGAGAAGAAACGGAGAAGATGATGGTCCGTGTGTACAAGTATTTGCGTGACGAGTTGGAGATTTTAAAGTTGATGACAGCGGAACAGGTGTTGGTGGCACTGGAGCAGGTCTCGGGCCGCGCCGCGCAGGCCACAGGTGTCTCTGAACTTGACATGCAGAAAACATTGGACAAATACAAAGCTTTACTTGACAAACAGCCTACGAAGAAGGCATTGGATAAAACAAACAAGCCGAAGAAAAAACGGAAACAAGGGATGTACGCACGCACTTTCAGTTTCAGGTACATATTTATATTACTATGTAGGGCGACTTGTAATTAGTACGTACATTAATTACATAATTATTAAAAACGGAATTCCTGTAGATAGTTTATTTTTTTTATGGCATAAGCCGATAAACGAGCCGACGGATCACCTGATGGTAAGCAATCGGCGTCACCCATGGCCACTTGGAACACCAGAGGCGTTACAAGTGCGTTACCGGCCTTTTGGGGATTAGGAGTTTAAGATCGTTGGTGATTCAGGGATTGGGGAGATTGGGGAAGGGGATCGTAATTGGGCCTGCGGTAACCTCACTCACACGACGAAACACAACGCAAGCGTTGCTTCACGTCGGTTTTCTGTGAGGCCGTGCAGTGGCGTGCACATGTTTTCGAGACAGAGTAGGCAACTAAATATCGTATGATTAAACCCCTCCCCCCCGGTCATACAATCATGCTCACACAAGACAGGTACATGTACATAATACATTTCGAAAAGTGCGTTCAAGAATATTGTGGTGAGCCAAGTGAATAAGCGCGAAGCGTGGGTTTTATACGCCTCTACACGATGTCCTAACGAGAGTGACAAGGAGGTGTTACATTGCACAGTGACATTAAGTGTCGTACTGTGAATTTCTGCCTACAAGTGCACATTACGATAAAAAGGCATGATGTTATGTTAAGTGGATTTTTGTTTCAGCAATGAATCCACGGATGACGAGCAACCCCCTAAAGTTCGGGAAGTGGAAACGGACAGTGGAAGTGCCGGAGTCTCAGTACAAACAGTTACAGAGTGAGTTACACTTAGTTTTATAGGATAGGACAGCAAACAATCAGACGGATCACCTGATGGTAAGCAATCGGCGCCGCCCATGGATACCCAAACACTAGAGGAGTTACAAGAGCGTTACCGGCCTTTTGGGGATTAGGAATTTGAGGGTTGTTGGAGATTCGGGGATTGGGGAAATTAGGGAGGGGGAATTGCGTCTCCGATAACCTTACTCACACGACGAAACACAAAACAAGTGTTTCACGTCGGTTTTCTGCTCAGCTGTGGTATCACTCCGGTCGAGCCGGCCCATTCCTGCCGAAGCATGGTTTCTCAGTTTCTCAGCTCTTACATATATTTGGTCAGCAGTGGCCACTTACACCACAATAGGCTGTTAACGATAACGATGAACAATTTATTAAAGTTGTTAATTTTTTTATAGACCATCGGATATGGAAGTAGACTGCGGCGGAGGGAACTCCATCGTCGAGACAACAGCGTGAGTTATTCATTCATTATAGTTGTTACTCTTTGTTCCCAGCTGTATGTTTACTTACTTCCTAGCTTCTGCCCGCGGCTTCACCCGCATTCTGTGGGATAAAAAGTAACCTATGTTATTCCAGACCATAATTAGTTTCCTTATGGCATCGAGCATTTCTTTATTGAAACAAAGAGTTTCTATTTCTTGTATAGAAGCACTAATTCTATGGATTGTCAGTATGCATATGTGAGCACCATGTTGCACTTGTAAGATTTTTATTTTTTTAATTTTAGTAAGTTATTAGTGTAATGCGTCAAGCGTGTCTTTGCATTGTTCTTACATATGCGTACAGTATTGAAATATGTATCAGAGACATTGTAGAACATACTTTTTTTAAAAAGAGTAACGAATGAAGTTTCTTGCTCGTTCTTCTCCATTCGAATCTACTTTTTGGAATGAGCACCTAGCTTCACCTAGTTTCACTGACGGACTGACTGACAGACTATTATTTATTTTGTATTTGTTGACGTTTCAAAAGTACCAAAGTATGGTTTAATTGAAATAAATGCTTTGACTTTGACTTATCCCTGTTCCAAATTTGAAAGAAGAATAAACTGGGTTTGTTTAAAAATTCTCAGTAGTAGCACGGAGACTGGAAATGTGTCCGGTATATGGCAATAGGCTCACCCCCTACTACATGGGACTCATAACATGAATAGTGAAAAGTGGGTGTTACATTGTACAGTGGTATAATATACACCTCTGCCTAGCCCTTTTGGGATAAAAGGCTAAAGTGATGTTATGTTAATTTATGACTTGGCTGATTGTATTGATGTGTTTCAGTCGGAGGGAGACGTCAGTGCAAGAAGAAGTACACGATAGCAACGGCGAGAGTACGGACGAAGCACTCGAGTGAGTCATGTATCATTATAAAAATACTATCTACATTTACAGAGTGTCAAGGGAACGCTTCGAAAATGCAGACAAGAAATGTTTGTCTTTACAATTTTAATCAATGCGATATTGTTCTATGAATTTTGTACGTATTACATAAAAGAGACATTTGATTCGCAATTCGCAAATCGAAACGAGGTCGCGGAGAACCTAACGGGTACCCGGGGCTCCGGCTCGATGTGCAGGAGAAGGAACGGGGTGGTTTTTAGTCAGTAAGAGTCTGACACTTCCTCCCTGAGCAGCCATTCGATGATTTTCCTCCGTAAAAAGATATAAAAAAATCGAAACGAGACCGGGTTCGGCGCTTTGATTAGCCGGCTCTAATGAACCAACCAATTAGAACGCTGAAGGCGGTCTCGTTGACAGCCCTCTGCAATCGAACTCTAGATACCTCTTGCCACCTCTTTTTTCTTCTTCTCCTCTTATAATATCTTCTGATTCACTTCGTTGCGGGAACCTAGACAGTTACTCATGTCCCTGGGACGCGCCGGACTTCAGTGTTCCGGTGTTTTCATGGTTGTATCTACTGTAGATCCTGGCTTACTGAGTTGCAGCGGTTTTGGGAGGTTGTGGCGGACTTGTCCTATTAAAAAAAAAAAACCTCTTGCTGCGCAGTCGCGCTTGTGACCACTTGACGAACGCATTGTATTTTATTATAATAGGGATGATGGCAGTGTATGAAAATAAAAAATCTAATTAGTCCGTCAGTTAGGTAATGAAAAAATATTAGATGCGTATTTTTTTATTTTGTCGTATAAGAAAACAATACTTACTTAGATAAACCGAATCAAAGTTTAGCAGTGGGAGCTAACTACGCCACATTTGAGTATAAAACGTACTCAAAAGTGACGTCACGCGATATTTCAAATCAATACATCGCCGAAAGTATATGTGTCCGCAAGAAAATAAAAAAATACTTATCTAAATTAATATATATATTATAATATAATGCAAATATTTCTTTTCACTATATCCACACAAAGGTTGTCTGGTAGAAATCACTATAAGTGATAAGACCGCCTTTGTGCCCATTATTATTTTTTATTTATCTTTGTCATTTCCTTTTCTGTATGTACTATATTATTCATGGTGTATAATAAAGTTTATTATATTCTAATGTTTTTAAATAATCTACCAGACGGACATTAAAATAAAAATTAGTCATCTACCTAAATATAGTCACATATATGTAACTTATAATTTCAGAGAAGAACCAGAAATATACATCAAGGACGAACCCCTGACTGAAGATGTCGATAGGTAAGTACTATTTGTATTGGGGATAAATATAATGACCACCATTAAATGCTTTGATACCCTTATGCCCGAATACTGAAACGTTACTCAATTTTAAGTCGCGCTTAAGTATAGTTCTGTCTCTACAAATTCTTTGTAAAATGACAGAGACAGCACAAAATTGAGTAACGTTTCAGTATTCCAGCATAAGTTTTGTAACCAAAAATATCTACTTAACACCAGAAAAATAAAGTCTAGAAATACGATAGTACCAGCTATTTAATCACGACTCCACTTTAAATTGTATTCGACCACCAAGTTTACTAAGTGGTCATCAAATCTTGACGAGCAAATTAATGTATTATTTTTGCCTGAATAAATCAGTGTGATTGCCATAAAATGTAGTGTACTAAGGAGTAATAGGCTACTTTTATTTTGGAAAGGACAATGCCAGGTGCTCAGAACATCTTTGACCCACTATTTGAGAAGTCATGTACAAGTATGCAGTATTCAGCATCGTGTTGTGTATTAATTACCGATACCTAAACATTTGTCCTGAAACCTGTAAAACTTGCGGTTTTTGTTTAAAACACAAAACAATAATGATACATAACGCGAAAACAACGGAAACGCAGAGAGCGAATGAAAGATATTATTGACACTGACAGCTGACAGGTGACGAGCGCTTCAAAACGTTTCGTTACACAAAAACATCATAACTAATGATAGTAATCGTTTCTTTTATATTTTCGTGATTTCATCTGTAATTAATAATAAATAAATAAATGTTATGTTATATATAATTACTACTACTACTTTTGATATAATATTTTATGTATAATGATATCTTTTTTTACAGTTACTTACTTTTTTTTTTATTTTCATAGTTTCGTACAAGCGATGGTGTAACGCAAATAGTCATTAGACAATAAATACGCATTGCAAAAAGTGTTTCCGGGATTGAACTTCTTTTTTTATTAAATTGTAAACCGCAAGTTTAAAAATAAAAATGATTTATTGTGAAAAGGTTCCTTATTCGTCAAAATTATTTTCATCAATTTACTTTTTTTGTAAATGATAGTATGACTGGGTCAGGATCTGGCATTGTCGTTTATTACGAAAACAGTTATATTCTAAAATTAATATTCTACGCGGAGGATGTCGCGGGCAACAACTAGTATATTATATTACTAGTCACTATGGATCCAATCCAGACCGAGTCCGACATCGGAGCTCTAAACTCAACCAGCCTACCATATCATATGTAATTAGTATTTTTCTCCTCCAAAAAATATAAACATACACAACTAAATAGACGCACAAACAAATAAATAAAGTGGTTTTTACTTTGCTTCCAGTGCTAATCCCCTGGACATCGGCGTGGTGGCTCCCTCTATCGCACACTCTTCGCACACACCGAGCGATACATACTCCACCACTACAACAGACACACAGTAAGTTGGTGCAGGTTTTTATACGTATATTTGTCACGAAGAAGTACACAGTATATGGCAATGGGCCCCTACCGTATTTTTAGTGAGGTGGCGCTAGTGAGACCTCTCGTTCTTCGTACAATAGAATTAGAGAATTATTTATCATCATCATCATCATCCTGTATTCGTCCACTGCTGGACATAGGCCTCTCCTATGGCACGCCACTGAGCTCGGTCTTCATCTCTACTCATCCAACCACTGCCAGCCACCTTGCGGATGTCGTCACTCCACCTATCTGGAGGCCGCCCTACACTGCGTTTGCCTAGACGCGGTCTCCACTCTAGAACACGTTTACCCCAACGGTTATCGGTTCTTCGACAAATGTGACCGGCCCACTGCCACTTCAGCTTACTGATCCTTTGGGCTATGTCGATAACTTTGGTTCTCTGTCGGATCATTTCGTTTCGGATTCGATCCTTCAAAGAGACTCCGAGCATAGCCCTCTCCATAGCTCCCTGCCCGACCTTAAATTGGTGGACCAGTCGCAGTGTCAGTGTCCACGTTTGGTTCCGTATGTCATTACTGGAAGGATGCACTCGTTGAAGACTTGTCTTCAGGCTTTGCGGTATCTGAGACGAGAAGACTTGATTAAGTTTTCTATATGCTGCCCAGCCAAACTGTATCCTTCTACGGGCCTCCTTTTCGAAGCTGTTCCTACCAAACTGCAGGGTTTGTCCTAGATGTATTCCTGAACAACTTCGAAAGGCGACCCGTTGAGAACAATTGTCTCCGGAATGACATGTATATTGAACATTAATTATTTATACATTTGGGAAACCAACAGCTATACGATTTGATTAAATAGAATGTGGTATGCAATAAAAAACCAATTACTGGTTTCCACGAGTAGTAACAGAAAACAGAAACATTCCAATACAACATTAAAATTACTAATAATAATTAACTGGTAATCTATAATGAAGCATTGAGGACTGTAGGTACCCACTATGAATTAAAGAAATCAAAGTGCAGCTGCCTACGCGCCTCAGTCAGCTTTGAATTAAATAGGCGTAAAGAAAAATCTTTATAGAGTTTATTGAAATCACTATTTAGTATCATCATCACCAATTAGCTAGTGTCACGCCATTGGACGTTCAATATTTGACAACTGCAGTGATTGGACAAATAACGAAATAACCCCTTCCTATGTTTGCACAATTTGGTGGGAAAGAAAACGTTTGTCCCCATAGTGTCACCCGAAATTTTTTAAGTGAGTCCTCGCCATGCTTCGGCACGAATGGGTCGGTTCGACCGGAGTGATACCACGGCCTCCTATGAGGCCGTGGTATTCTATAAAACCGACGTGAAACAATACTTGTGTAGTGTTTCGTCGTGTGAGTGAGGTTACCGCAGGCGGAGGCCCAATTACCCCCCTCCCCAATCTCCCTATCAATCCTCATATTCCTAATCCCCAATAGGCCAGCATCGCACATGTAACGCCTCTAGTGTTCCGTGTGTCCATTGGCGACGCTGTTACTATTGCGGGCCTGCTCGACTATTGCGGGTGTCTCTGTCTCCTCGTTTACTGGGTTATCTAATAAAAAAAAAACGATAAAAGTCACATCCTTTTCATCCTTCCTCCATCCATCCTTTTCATGTGAGCGTACTCTCGGTGCTATCAGACCACCACAGATGGGGCCCAGTGTCATTATAATTATTTTGCATATTATAGCTCCGTGTACTCTTAACCGACGAGCATGCATGAAAAGATTGATGACTGTTGATGAAGCGAAAGAATGTAGGCATCGTAGTAATTGGCGTTCCATAGTCTTTGCCTACCCCCATTAGAGTCAGGCGTGAAGTTGTGTATGTATGTATGTAGCTCCGTGTTAAATATAATTTCATTGTTACAGAACATACGACCCTGGCGAAGATGTAAGAATAAAAACAGAAAATGGTGAAACGGAACCAAGCCACGATCACACGTATCATAAAAATACGTGACTAGGAATGGAGGAGTCCCTAAACTAAGATAGGTGACACTTAACGACATTTTGGTTTTCAACCACCTTTAAGTGACTCCTAATGGTACGATCAAAGGTCAAAAGTCCACTGCTACCGTAGGACTACTCTCGGTTGTTATACACACACACACACACACACGCATATTTTTATCCGTGTGCGTACGCGTGCGTGTGTTTATGCGTACGCACGCGTGTTTATGCACATTAATATGAAATTACTTACGCATTGCCGTGTGAACATCACTCACGGTGGCAGTGGACTTGACCTTTGACTGTACAAGTTAGTTTACATGTTTCCTCATGCTAAGTAACTTCTAATTAAGTAGCGGTTGGTGAAAACGGCCATTAGGCCTCGTCCCTGAGGATAAAACTATCAGTCACACATACTTTACTTTTTATCCTAAGTGTTTCCGAAAATCCTGTGGAAAGGGGAACAATGGTATTGCGCGTACGAAGTTGCGGGCAGAAGCCGCAGAAGCAAATGCTGTTTTATGATTTTGTAATACAAAAAGCAATGTTTTAGTTTCCTGGCATTAATAATCTATTCTCAATTTAATTCGGTCTCTGTTTTTGACGGAAATTCAATAGAATTTATGTCAAAGATTTTGATTTCATATCGTTTTTTTTTTTAATTTCAGTGAGCTAAGTACATGTTTGTTTTACGTTTAAAGTTAACGAGACTGCTTTCGGTGCTCTCATTGGCCGGTTCCAATGAACCAACCAAACAGGCGGTTACGGGTTTGTTATATACGTTTCAAGTAATCGTAACGAGTACGCGTCCGGCGCTCTGATTGGTTGCTTCATTGGCGCCGGCCAATCAGAGTGCCGAACGCGTACTTGTTTCGAATACTTTAAATGTAAAATAAACTCGTACTAACAATGATATTATAAATAATAAAAAGAGGTAGATATCGCACTGGCACGCAAAAATTGTTGCGAACGAATTCAGACAATTGTCGTAATTTTATAATAGCTATCTCTTTCTGTACCATACTTTCCGTATTATCTGTCGCACGTAGTTGAAAATGACATTTAAGTACATTTGTAATAAGAACGCAACATTTTTTGGACGCCGCTTAGTATGAACGTAGCGTATCTTCTTTATAATATCATTGCGTACTAAGGCCTCAGGAGCGCTGTACGTGGTCTCGTGTCGATCTCGTTACGTAAAACAACTTCGGACTAAGCTCTAAGTTACGCGATTCTTGATTTATATGATGTTAGTATGTATAAGTATTGTGTTCCTAAAGCACTATTTTTTGCAGACTGATCGAAACTACGTGTTTCCAATAGAAATATGAATTACTTGTTTAACGCATTCAGTGCCCATGACGCGTCTGTGCGTTTTGTGACACGACGCTATGTGCCCGGGACTCAAATATGCGTTGACCCTTTTTTTACCTGCTGCCCGTCGACGCGTCCGAGGGTCTATTGTTTCGAAACCCATATTTACACATATGTACTTCCTTATCTGATTTCTTTGATAAAGGTCATTACACACTTTGTACGAATTATAAAAAAAACTTATTCTACTACTACCAATGCAATAATCAATAATTTTGTTCAGCCGTTTCGAAATATAAATATACTTAGAACAATTGAAAAAAGAAATATCCACGTAAGACTACGATCACCTTTGGTGGTATTTTTTTTCAATGTTATCTCGATCATCTCTTTCTTTTCCAAGAAACCTAAAATTTCACATAACACATACATACGCACAATAGAATCACATTAGTTTGCTGATAACGGCAATACAATGCACGGCGGTGCCTTAGAAGATTTTAAATACCACGAGAGCTAAAGCCAAAATCTACCTAGATACCTAATTGTTTTTCCAAGAAACCTAATATTTCATATGACTCTTATCTACATACGCACAATAGAATCACATTAGTTTGCTGATAACGGCAATACAATGCACGGCGGTGCCTTTTAAGATTTTAAATACCATATCCACCAGGCGCTATAGCCAACTATCGAAATGTTTTAGGATAAACCTATACGAGATAATAAGTACCTTACTAAATATCTATGGTGAAAGACTATAATTTATATATACTGGCATCGCGTCGTGACATACGTTTAAAAATCCAACATCAACCTCCTGTTTTTGAAGTTGGTTAATTAGTATACTAAACCCATCCCCTAAATGTAACAGAAGTTTTTCTGAAAACCGCATCAAAATCAGTTCAACCAATCGCGAGATAATCGCGTACAAACAAACATACAGGTCAAACTGAGAACCTCATTTTTTTTTAAGTCGGTTAAAATACAACAATGTTCTAAATATAAACCTACTTACCAACTATAGAATTATTACGTTCATCCTTAGTTTATATTTAGATAAATTTTTCAATTTCACTACATAAAATAAATAATCTTATGGATTATAAATTCCATTACAGTGTGTCATGACCCTAACTTATATCTACAGATACATAATATTCTATCGTATTTTCGTAAGTATATAACAAACGCACAGACGCGTCACGGGCACTCGCCGAGAGTCGAACGGACGCATATATGAGTTTCGGGCACACGGTGGGAGCCGTAAGAACGCGTATATGAGTTTCCGGCACACGAAAAGGGCAAACATTGAACGCAATAGTGCGTGCGGGGCACTGTAGTATGTCTTATAATTCGGGCACTGGAGAAAATCCACTGGGCAGTGAATGCGTTAAATAGTACACTTAGCAATTCAATTGTTGTGATATTATCGTAATAAATTAATATTTAAGTGAACCTAGTGACTTTTATTTTAACCCTTTTTTGTAATGGAAAACCATTTCATGATGTCTCTGCCAACTCCTATTGACTGAGCCAGTATCATAGATGTAAGTATGATTATATTCTTACATTGCATAAAGAGTTGACAGTTAATTTTCTTTCGGAAGATATTTATTGTAGTAATAGATAACATAATAACCATAGTGGTGTACCGCGGTCACTATCGTAGATTCCTAAAAAGCTGTAAAAACACGGAAAACGGTGACTACTAACTGAGTTTCTGTAACAGAGGAATTCATGATTTTATTAGATAACAACATCACGCCTTTTATCCTGAAAGGGGTAGGCACAGGTGCACATTACGGCACTTCATGCCACTGTACAATGTAACACCCACTTTTCGCTATTCATGTTATGAGTCCCATGTAATAGGGGGTGAGCCTATTGTCATATACCGGACACAATTCGAGTCTCAATAACATTATAATAATATAATTATTATAATATTACTTTGCCGAACCCGAAACCCCTAGCCCGGCAGTCTCACATGCGGCCATTCGGCCAACGAGGCAGTCTAATGAAGCATAATTTTATTATAGTGAAGAATTCAAATAGGTTTGAAGCTATATGGGCAAACAGGTGGTGGACAACCTTATGGATTACCGGGGCTCAGACTCGAAGCAGGAATAGGTACGGGGTAGTTTTTAGTCATACTGACTCTGACTTAGACTTAAAGTCTGATTCTCACCACCAAGGCGAGATAACTCATTTATACCTTCAAACAAGAAAAAAAGTTGAAAAAGAAGAGAAAACCTTTTCATTATAGCAGAAGCAGAGAATCAACCGATCGTTTATAATCTATGGTTGCATGGCATTTCATTGTGACAACTTTGACATTGACAATATTGACATTCTAAAGTATTGTTGATTTGTGGTATTGTGTTGTGATTTCTCATTGGAATTAATTTTATATTTATTTCTACATAATAAACTTTACAAACTTATTTAAAGAAATAGTCCTAATAATTTTAGTGCTATGTACCAGAACTGAGTAAATTATGTGTGATACATTAAATAAAAACTGAGATTTCGTTAAGTAAACATGTAAGTTATATGTACCTATTTTTCAAAAAAGATTTACACTATAATTATATTCTAATGCTCATAGAATTAGAATTAAAATTGCCCTTCTCTCATCTACTTATAGAAACGACTGAAATAAAATTAATAAGTGATATTTATTTAAGTTTCTACGGAATATTACAGGAATGAGTTGCCTATGTGTTGTTGTTGCAATGAACACGTTTGTGTCAAGAGTATGTGGTGTGAGTACCTGTGGATGGGCAGGCCTGAAGTCTACGGCGACATGTTGCGGGACTGCTTCAATATCAGTGTGAGTTCTTATTGTAATCTTATCAGAATAATAGTAGTTTATGGTCATTTATAAGTCTGTATAGTCTGTTTTAGTATATCTTTTGTTAACTTTAGGAAGTATTACTAGTTTCTGCCAGTGGCAAAATATTGGCATGTATGCCATTGATGGCACACAACACAATCATTTGGCCACGTCATTGATTACATGTGTTTATTTATATTATTATGTATTTTTTTTCTTATTGATGATTTAGTTACACAAATTATTCAATTTCAGCATAACTTCTGCTTAACGAACTAGTAGAAATAATTAATTACCTATTATTTTAATGGCATATGTAGGACCTCAAGAAATATTTCTTTAGAAAAATGGCTTCGATAAATGCACTGTCCAACACATAAAGAATTATTGAAATCGGACCCGTAGTTCTGGAGATTTGCGTGTTCAAACAAATCTTAACATTTAAGTTAAATATATATATGTTTTTAACAGTGGGTGCAGACCAATACCAGTAATGACCAGATTTGTGAGATATGCATCACACAGCTCAGGAATGCGGCTCACTTCAAGCAGAAGGTATTAGAGAGCCAGGCACAACTCAGAATGCAGCTCTTACGTAAGTATTGTTATAATATGACACTTATTTTGTAGCCTATTAGAATCTCAGATGGGTTGTAAGGGTGTGTCCAAGGCCATTAGCCAAACGCCACTTTAGCGCTTGTCTACAGAGAGAGTAGAAAACTAAATGTGTGGGGATGACACTGACAAGTGTCAAAATTTACGTCAATCCCATATAATTTGGTAACAAGCGCTAAATGGCATTTGGCTACAGCTGCAGATTGGGCAATTCGGCGCAAATGTGCCGTTTGCGGGCC